GCGCCTTGGTCCTTCCGCCTGGGCTGGGGCAACGCACCCCCGCCCCCATTTCCTCACCTTCCCGAGTGTCCTCGGAGCTCTGCGGAGAACGCGGCCGTTCCCTCCCGGGAGGAGGCTGCCGCTGCACTCCGCCTGGGGGGCGAGCCGGCTCTCTCCACCCGACTACTCCCAGCCTGGCCGCCCCTCGCTGGGCGCTTTGTTTTGCTGGGTCGGTGCTCGCTTGGCGTCCTTGCCACTGCCCCGTTTATTTGCGGTGTTATGCTTGGTGATGGGTTGGAGTTGGGATGTGATGGAGTTGGGATTCAGCGAAATAAAAATGACCGCCCCCCCACGGAAATAGCACAGCTTTATCCAGCTGAGACGCCCCCAAAGCCTGGCTTTGAACGGAGATGGGAAACCCCACTTTGGTGTAGTGGATAGTGTTCGGGCCGGTGGATGAGTCATGTGCTTTTGCCGAGTGGCTGGCTGACTTCCCTTTTACGCAAGACCACGCACTGTTTTTTGAAGTGTTTTTATGTAGTTGTTTACTCATTTGATGTTTCATGCAACCTGCTGGGGCTTATATTCTTGGCCCTTGGGTTCATTTTTACCTGTGTGTTGGATGCAAGAGGGGACCTCTTGCAGTCCGTGCCTAACGAGACTTGAAGTGTCTTGGTTACCTTTGAGAGGGCTGTAGGTGTCCGAGTTGACAAAAACCAAGTCCCAGTGTACTTCTAAGCCAGTGGCTCTTTGGTGCTATAATACAGTTGGAGATTTTCATGAATGAGGCTGTCAAGTTCCTTAAATTGTGAGCCCTTGGAATTTGTAGGCCTTAGAATTTGTACAACAAGCGGTACTCAACAGGATTTATGAATGTGCTTTCAATTTCAAGGTTTTGGATGGCACAGTTTTATGACCTTGCCAGTAATTTAATAAAACATTCCTTTCGTTTTAATTTGGATGGAGATTATCTTTCAGCAAGGCATTGTAGATAACCAACTCCTTCTCCCCAAAAGCTTTAACCTGGGGCAGGTAAAACTCTCAGATGGTTTCAGCTTACCAAATCGAGAAGGAAAAGTCTGGTCAGAAACAAAATGCATCCCCTTATTACCCACCATATCCCCTATCTTGGTAGGAAACAGTATCTAAGGACTGAAGCTGTGGAGTAAATGAGTCTTAGACTATGTCTCCAAAAATTATCTTTTTGAGCCAGTTGTGATCTTTGTACTAATTTGCACTTCTGCTTTTGGTGGTGGTGGATATTTTCGTGTTACACAAATTGGATTATTGAATGCCTTCTCTTTTTTTCTATTTTTCGTATTTTAAAAAAATTAAATTAATTTTAGAGAGAAGGAGAAAGAAACATCCATCAGTTGCCTCCCTAATGCACCCGACTAGGAAGACTAGGAATCGAACCGGAAACCTGGGTATGTGCCCTTCGCTGGGAATCGAACCTGCCACCTTTGGGTGGACAGTATGTGGGGATTCCTTGCTGATGATGACAGTTAACTCATAAGGCATGAGTTTATGCTCTGGCTGGTGTTCTCTGTGGTTAGAGTGTTGTCCCATGTCAATTCCTGGTCAGGACATGAGTGTGAG